TGAGGTACGAGATTATGTTACTTCGACTTTCAAGGTCCCGTCTCCTCTCTATAGTACTCCCATGTCGGATATCGGTTGTTGTTGTAGAGCATTGAAATTCACGTCAACTGAGGCATGTCATTGTTTGGTCGGGTTTTTTTTCTGAACTTTTTTATTGACTTCTTGTACACAATCATTTCAAAGCTTCACTGCCCTTCATGTTGGTCATCGTACTACATTCTTGAACCCAAGAAATTGTCAGAGTAGATCCTCTGCCTTTCCTTCATAAATGTTTTTTCGAAGCACTTCATTGTCAGTCACCGTGCTTCTGTGAGAAATCAGCAATATAATTTTATAAAGTCACAGCCTTTCCTTCTTAAACGTAATTCAAAACAATCAACGCACTGGTTTTGCTACTCCTAGAAATTCCCTTAGGGATCAAACAACTTTACTTTCATTATGTCATTGATAGCGCACTTTCTCTCTTTGTCTTGTTGTCGGTATATTCATCACGTTATATAGTCTCTCACCGCGTTACTGGGTTTGCTCATCCTGACCCTATCTGGACTTTGAAACGAGAAGCGTCTAGTTGTCAAATACCTGGCCTGTGATCTATAACGGATGCTCCTCTTCACTCAATTTGGACTTTTGTGTTAAGAATGGCATTGACTTTGAACCTGAAGACTCGATGGCCTTGATCAAATGACATGCTACAAGTCTGGTAGGTCAAGTTTAGATCATGGACTATAATTTGTGGCCTGGGATGTGAACTAGGCCCTGGGTGTTTTGGTGCAGGAGGTCATAGCGCTACGACTTGAACACTCGATGCTCCTCGACTCGAGAGATATTGGCCAGATGAAGAAGCTGCAATATTTGGATTCCAAGGAGTTGATGTTGAATGAAGTAGGTGGCAAGCTTCCAAAGAATCTGACCCTTCTTCGACTCCGTGGAGAAGTGAACAATCTTCATAACCTGGTAGACCGAGGGCTCGCGAGAAGTTTGGCTATTCTGGACTTGACGGCACCGCTCACATGTTTGCCAACAACCGTCAGTGACTTTCAAAACCTTGAAGTTATGAAATTCGCAGGCTGCCTCTTCCAAGGTCTTCCCGAAGCATTCGGACAACTTCCCAGGCTTCGTCATCTTACATTTACCTGGTGCAAGAGACTTTGTTCACTCCCCGAAGCTTTTGGAGGGCTCTCACGACTGCAGTCTTTGAAACTTAAATTCTGTTGGAGTTTGAAAGCATTGCCGGATGGATTCGGAAATCTGTCCAAGCTAGAAAGCCTGATAATAAGAGCGAGTACAATCTCAGAACTGCCTGAGAGCTTCGGAAATCTGTCCCAGCTACAAAGCCTGGAAATAAGTGGGAGTGATATCTCAAAACTGCCTGAGAGCTTCGGAAATCTGTCCCAGCTACAAAGCCTGAATATATATTGGAGTGATATCTCAAAACTGCCTGAGAGCTTTGGAAATCTGTCCCAACTACAAAGCCTGATAATAAGATGGAGTGATATCTCAAAACTGCCTGAGAGCTTCGGAAATCTGTCCCAGCTACAAAGCCTGGTAATAGGTGAGAGTGATATCTCAAAACTGCCTGAGAGCTTCGGAAATCTGTCCCAACTACAAAGCCTGATAATAAGATTGAGTGATATCTCAAAACTGCCTGAGAGCTTCGGAAATCTGTCCCAGCTACAAAGCCTGGAAATAAGTGGGAGTGATATCTCAAAACTGCCTGAGAGCTTCGGAAATCTGTCCCAGCTACAAAGCCTGGTAATAGGGGGAAAGAAAATCTCAGAACTGCCTGAGAGCTTCGGAAATCTGTCCCAGCTACAAAGCCTGGTAATAGGGGGAAAGAAAATCTCAGAACTGCCTGAGAGCTTCGGAAATCTGTCCCAGCTACAAAGCCTGGTAATAGGTAGGAGTGATATCTCAAAACTGCCTGAGAGCTTCGGAAATCTGTCCCAGCTACAAAGCCTGGAAATAAGTAGGAGTGATATCTCAGAACTGCCTGAGAGCTTCGGAAATCTGTCCCAACTACAAAGCCTGATGCTAAGATGGAGTGATATCTCAAAACTGCCTGAGAGCTTCGGAAATCTGTCCCAGCTACAAAGCCTGGAGATACTTGGAGGGAAAATCTTAGAACTGCCTGAGAGCTTCGGCCGTCTCGCTAGTCTGCGGGTCCTGAAGCTTGAAGATATGGAGAGACTCCAAGCCTTGCCGGATACTTTTGGGCAGCTTTCACAGTTGTCGCACTTGACGATGCTGGGCTGCAACATCATCCAAAAATTCCCGGAATCGTTCGGCAATCTGGCCAACCTGTCCACATTAGAAATCCTCGAGTGTCCCAGTCTTAACTACTTCGGGGTTCCGAAGAGCACCAAAGTATGCATTCATAGCCGGATGATAGCGTTTGGAGTAGAACTTCACCTGGAGCCTTTTTTGGAATTCGCGAGATGGGCCTATGCCGGGGATCAATTGAGAACTCTCATTGTTAGTGCGGCGGAAGTTTTGGCGGAGATCAATTGAGAACTCTCATTGTTAGTGGGGCGGAAGTTTTGGGATTTCTGTGTTCGGATGGCTATGGCTCTTCGATTTAGAGTGGGGTCCCAATTGTACAGTTCTGCAAAGGAGTGATGAAAGCAGCGGAGTGAAGGTTGGCAGAGAAAAGAGCGCTCTATTCGTAAGCGTCGGATTTGAGTCTTGGTGAAGATTCAAAGTGGTGAACCTCGGTAATCTGGCCTTTGGTGCTAAATTGGACGCTGTCTTGTCATCCAGATGAACGCCTTGGGTATTTTGCTTTATCTCTCAGCTGCATCTAACTCGTCTGGAGGTTGCTCTGAGTGTGCTTGTGTACTTGGCTTTGGATTTTGTGTTCTCCTGCTTTCGTGTCCAATTGACTCTCTTAGCTTCCCGTGTACTTCAGTCAAGTCCCAGTCTTTCCCGTAGGTTGAGTTTAGATTCAGAACTCTGCACTCGGAAACAAATCGCCAGAGCTTCAGTTAGGAAATCTACTTCTAGCTCCTGCAAGTTCGAAGAAGATTGCTCCGAATCATGTGAGCCCTCCATCGTAAGTTTATGCTGGGTCTCCACTCACCTCGCCTCCAGTTTCCAGACCAATTCATCATTGGAACGACAAAGTTACACAAAGGATCGCAGGAGTGCAGTTGTTTCACGCTGCTTCCTGAAATAACGAAGAGTTTGCTCGTATTCTTACGAGGTGAAGTGGTCTATTTACACATAATTATCTAACTCGGTCACGATTTGAAGAGTGTTCTTCGATTTGACAATTTTCACCGGAGAATTTGACCAAAACGTAACCAATCAAGGATTGCTCCTTCTCACTTCTTGCGCTGTTATCGTCATCGCGACTGTCTTACATTCGAATTGTGGAAGGCATCTGCATCAACTCCCACCTTCACTCTGCGCTCTACTCCTTGTACAATCCTGTTGTAGATTCCCTCGCACTGACAACGATTGCCGACCGATGGTTTTCATGTCTCCTATGGCTTCTACTTCAAACCGACATAAACCCTGTTCCAACAGCGTTGACACCCTTGCTCACTCTGTAGATGTCACAATTGCTATGTTTGACTTTGATTTCCTTGTGCAATGTGGTTCATTACATGGACTGAATCAAATTGCAACATCCAACCGTGGATGTATTTGGCTCCCAATTTGTTAAACTCCATATAAACCGCATTACCGCAGTCTCCAGCTTCGAATTATTTTTTTAGGGATGCAGTTTCTACGTATGAATCAAAATGATTTCAAACCGTATTCAAAATTATGCACCCATAAGTAGCAATAGAATAGCCTCACTTGCTCAAGATCGAATAAGGGCAATAGAGCTCCAGCAATCGGCAATTTGAGCTCGATTTGCACCTGCTGCTCGAGCACGGAGATCCGGCTGAAGATGCTGTAGCTCTGATCGTTGCTCGCGTCGCCGAGAGCGTGGGCGACCAGACATCGTCGATGGGCGTCCCCTGGAAGTTGCCACCGTGGACGGCCCAGTCGCGGGCCACGTCAATGAGCGCGCTGTCGTTACCGAATCAAATCGAGGCGAAGCGCCACCTCGGCCACGAGCGCCAGCACGTGGCCACCAGGCCATCCTTGTGTTGAAGAGCGAACGGCTTCAGCCGCCCCACGAGCTTCAGAGCGTCGTGTGCCGTCACGACGTCGCCGGTCTCGGTCGCGGCTTTGGAGTCGGGGCGGCCCGTCGATGCGCTTGCCGAGGAATGTCTGCAACGTCTGCAGGATGGACCACCGAATTCCCGAGTAGCCCCCGAGAATTCGGTGCACCGATCGTCCGAGCACCACCGTCACGTCCGGCCTGGGCCACCATGAGCGTGAATCCCTGGATCAGAACCTCCTCGGTGTCGTGAAATTTGTGCACCAAGTCGGCCCCTGGGAGGAGTGGCCCGGGCTGCTTTCGCCCAGTGCAGCGGATCCTAAGGTCGTGAGCACTCTTCGCCATGAGGCTCAGGCAGTACTTCACCGAGTGCCTTACTCTCCGCCCTTCGCAGTGGTAATTTGGATCTCCTGAAAGTTGGACGAGAAGACTTCGCTCATCATGACTCCAGAGCTCCGGATTGAAGCTTATTGAACTGATCTACATCGTCTACCGAATCATCGCGTCGAGCCCGTCTGCCAGCCTTTCAGCCGAGCGCTGAAATGATGAACGGAGTCATCGTGCGAGGCTGTTGTACAAGAGATTTGGAAGTGGAGACTCTTCGAAGGTCGCCACGGACGAGGAGTGTGAATGAGGTGGAGCAAGAGCCATTGCCACGCTTGTTTGAAAGAAGGCTCGGACTCCGATGCCTCGCAGCTCGCATGAAGCTGTCGCTCTGAGAGGAAGATAATTCACTCTGACAGTGCTGTCCGCAGAAAGAAAGCAGACAGAGCGGGCCTGATCGAGACACAGAACCACGTAGGGCGTTGCAGTAGAGTTCTGAATTTCCGCACATTATATAGCTTCGCCCTCGCTGCATTTTTGACCTCTTGGTGCTGTGACTGGGACCATGAAGACTAGATCTTGGTGGGTTGACACAGGACTCCGCTCGAGTCCACAGGAATCTAAGAGTCCTACAAATGGGGACCGGGATAGAGAAATGAATTATTTCTCCAGCTCACAAATAGAGAAATGAATTATTTCTCATATGCTATCTGAATACTCTGGATGATGTATATATTAACACTCTTTCTTACTTTGCTTGCGAGACTAGTTGCGCAAAGTTGTTCGCATGCATCGGGTTTACGAAAGAATCAAATTTCAAAAGCCAACGCAAGTCTATCTGTTTGTCTTCAAAGAAAATAATCCATTGCAAACAATTGAAGCAGATTCTCTACTATGCATTCACGTGGATAGCATGAGTCTGCTCATTCCTTCACATACGGTCTCGTACAATTTATAAAGTAAGGAGGTTCAACATGTCCAAGTCTCTCGCTTTGGAGAAGGTCCTTCCTCGTAGGTGGACGAGTCTTACTCTAAGATCAGAAGAGAGAGGAAGGAATTTCAGCGCAAAAAAAAATTCGGGGGACTGTGGCTGACCATGACCATTTGGTCAATGTTGTCATGTTTGACAGCACCGGTCTGATGCAGATATTGCGGTCCTCATGCCGTGACTTAGAAGACTCAAACTCATCCACCTGTCGATGACATCAGACTTATAATATAGTGAAGCATTTAGTGTAAGTTTGCAAGGTATATATACGAACATGACAGCCGGTTCTCATCCAGGTCTGCGGGGATTTGTTTGCATTGTATCCCTGCTGCTTGTTGAGACGACTAACGAACTCACAAATCCGGCATTCCAAATTTCAATCTGTCGTGAGTGCTGAGTCTGAGGGTTTGACAATTGTGTTCAGTGGCAGAAATGGCCAACAACGGCACAGCTACCGCTTACCGCCACCAGAGGGCCGAAGGGCCAGCGACAGTTCTTGCCATTGGCAAAGCTACTCCCCCAGGGATTATCCTCAAAGCGAATATCCGGACTTCTTCTTCAATATCACCAACACCAATGACAAGACTCATCTCAAAGCCAAATTCGCCCGGATATGTAAGCATTGCAGCTGTTCTCCATCTTCTACCATCATCATCGTTGCATAGAGTGCTCTAATTGTCTCTGAAAGCTCATTGACATTGCAATTCTAGCTCAAAATTGTGCGCTTTGACTTCTTAAGTTTCATGTGGAGAATGAGAACTTATATCCACGTCTCTTCTTGTTCAGGCAATAATTCAAGAATCAACACGAGGTACTTCCATTGCACCGAAGACGTTATGAAGGCCAATCCTTCAATGTGCACGTACCTGGAACCTTCATTCGATGTTCGAGTGAAGGTTCCAGGGTGCAAATGCAAGAATTCACAGGGTGTGAGAGAATTCACAGGATGGACCACCGAATTCCAGGGTGCAAGTGCAAGTATTTATTTGCACTTGCATGAAGGAATTGTTTGATACGACTTTGAGTTTTTTTTACTTCCGTTTGTCTTTTTGCAATCTGAGTTGCAAAGTAACTTTTTTTACCTTTCCTAAATTTGCAATTGAAGCTTTGAATCTTTTTCTTGTTTCAAGTCATCTTTGTGGTTTACGATGTTTATTGTCCTTTGACTTTTCAAGCCAAGTCAATTTTCCTCAATGATGAGTTGGGCTTATCTAGCATGGTTGTATGCCACATGTGTGCAACAGGAAGTATTCTACCATTACTCCATTCTTGGTGAGCCTTCTTGATATGTCCAATGCAATGCCGGAGCTCTAGCTCTCCCACTTAGAAGTCCAAGCATGCTCTTCACACTCAATTGGTATGGCTGAAGGAGATTTTTGATGAAAATCCTAGTATGATCAAAGTGGGAGAGCTAGAGCTCCGACATTGCATTAGACGTATCAATTTTGCAGCTCAGATTGCAAAAGAGCACGAAGAAGGCCAAAAAAACTTGAAGTTTGATCAAACAATTCCTTCAAGCAAGTGCAAATAGACACAAATGCAAAAAGGAAAAAGATTGATTACTAGTAGATACCATTGACCTTTACAATAAACTAGCTGCTGAGCAAGGTGTTGCATAACGGCACCCAATTCTTGAATTTAATGAAATACAAGTAAGTGACCGTACACATTATGTTTGTTTGAAAACTTAAGATCTGAAGTTGATGAGACTTTTAGTTTCAAAATTAGATCATTCTTCTCTTCTGATGAGTACTCTTAGAGACCGAGTGCATTTTTATGTAATTTGCATCAACTTGTTTTACTAAATAGCTCACATTTGAGAATTGCTTTAGGTCTGAAAGTGAAGCAATCAATAGCTCATTTTCATTGTCAAACATCTAAGCTTGTAAGTGACCTATCACAAGTAACAGCATCGTATATGCCACAGCTACCTCCTCATATATAGTTGTTTTACTTTGGAACCTTATTACAACAAACTAGCTACTTGTCTTTTGTCAGGGATAAAATCGAATGGAGTGAAACCTTCGTTTCCAAGCTGCAAGCCCAGCAGTGTAGTGAGCGGTCATGGCGGGAGTCTCCGGGGGCGAAATGGAAGAGGCAATATTGTATAGACACTATGCAAAGGTGCCACACATCATCAAAAGTAGTAGACATAACTGAAAATGTTTGCTGCAAGGTTATACTTTCTCATGAGCTTTTTTCCATAAGAATTACATTGAGAAGCATTGGAGAAAAGATCATGTGGACTGCCATCTCCAGATTACACAAAAGCTTCCATCTAGGCCAAAAACAATTGGAGTTTCTAGGAAGTCGGACAAGAAAAAGTTGATTGTCTCCTGTGACAAATATTTTAGAAAAATTTTGCCAACGTTGTATCAAGCACAAGCAAGACAAATTGGACTTCTTCTGAGGCGAGGTATGCAATTCTTCTCAGACAAGTTTTTTTTTAATTTGCATTCCTTACTTAAAATCAAATTCATGAGAACTCTCACAAAAATCACAACTTGTTGGTTTTAGAGTGTGATAACCACAAATATTCTACAAAAATGACAATTTGAGTGATGTGACCAGATTGTACAGTGCTATATTGACTAGAAGATATATTCACTAATGACGAGAGAAAATATAGGTGAGTTGAAGGATACTTCAGTGATTATGAGGACCATGCGACTCGATTGCAAGAATTATCTTCTCAACTGAAAAATATTGAGAATTCTAGAGTTTGCAAATTTTGTGTTTGATCATTTGGATGAGCTTCTTGATCCTTGTTAGAGAAAGTCATAGTTTGTAGATTGTATTCATGAGTGAGTGAAGGGAGAGCAGGCCAAACAATGTAAGAGCAGTCAATGTCAAGGTATGAAGAAGGTGGAGATCGATATTGAAGAGGTTGAATCAATGAAAAAATCTTGTGGAAATCTTGATTGCAGATGACAAATGCAACAATAAGATTAGATGCTCGACACGAAGCCGAGATAGATGAAGAGAAACAACACCGCTCGCTGCTTCCCCAGCTCCATGATTGAGCCACCACCACCGTCACAATCAAAAATCCATGCTCCCTCGTTCAATCCCCCAGGAAATCCAAGCTTTGTTGTGTTTCCCCGTGAAGCGACAAAGAACTTTATCTCCTTGGTCTTGAGCAACGGAACGAAACTGGAAAAGCTTTTGAGCTTTCGTGGAAGGGGGACGATGGGTCAATACACCCATGAACTACCTTCTTGGGGCGAGCTTGTAACACTAGGGTTTAGAGAGAAGCTCACTCGAAGATAGAAACGTAAACTCGGAAGATGAGAGATACCAACAATGGTTCTCCTCTCCCTTATATATCTCTCACCAACAAGTACAAGGAGATAAGATTAAATCCCCACTATCCATCCCACTCCTAGTGGATGGATGACGTGGCGGATAAGCCTAACAAGCACACGGATCGCTGACGTGGCGCACCCAACTAACACACTAACTAACACACTCAATCCTTACCTACAAGCACACGGATTGCTGACGTGGCACAGTCAACTAACACATCCACTCTGTATCTACCAAGTGCGCGGATCGCTGACGTGGCAGCTATGACTAGTGCACACTAAAGTATCTACATCAATATTTAGAGTAACCTCTACTTTAGTTCTAACTAACTAAAGATGGTTACAGAGTCCGAGCGGATTGTCTCCTCGATCATAAATGTTGCTGGCTGGCGAGCGGGCGGGCCTCATCACTAAGGGCTCGTGAGAAAAGAGGAAACGCGAGCTCTGCCCGCAACCCGACCCCCCCCCCCCCCCCCCCGCAGCCCGACTAGGGAGGGCCGCCTCCCAACCCCCTACCCCGCAACCCGACTAGGGATGGACGCCTCCCGACTCCTGTCTTAAATACACTACGGGCGCAACCTTTTCTCTTTCATCATCGTAAGAAAGGTCGTTCACCATATTGAGTGGCACACCAGGTCGGCATATAATAAAACCTTCGTACACTCCATATAATAATGCAATATTTTCCAAGACCAAGATGTTGGGAAGAACTTTAGTCAAAAATTAAATAAAAAAACTCCTTCACTTTATCGCTGGATATGATACAATCCTCTGGCACAAAAGTTTGGCATTACAAGTGATAACACTGCCGTTCTAAATTTTATGGTTTTATTGTGGTCAAACTTGCTCCCTTCGTGTTTCAAAGCAACCCATTAAAGAACCTTTGTCATCACGCGATTTAAGACGCCTGAAGATCCATTAAGACACATTAAGACGTCTTGTTATCACTTTATAATTTTGCTTTTATGAAATCTTTCATTATGAGTTCTTTTGTGATTCTCCATCATGTTAATACATGAATAGATTTACTTAAATATAAAAATTGAAGAGAAATAATTTTCTTAGAAACTAAAGCTTTAGGAAAAAACGAAGCTAGTTTTTTTTTGGGTAAGAAGAGTGGAAGCCCCAAACATGCTACTCCATTTCTCCTCCCCTTTGCCAATGGAGGAGAAATGGGGCATGGGAGAGGAAAAAAAACGAAGTACAAGTTCCCTGCGGGGAAGGAAGTAGGCCTCGGCAAGGTAAGGTAAAAGGTAACCGAGTAAGCCATGGGTCTCTACCTTTACCTTACCTTTTACCTTACTCGTGTCACTATAGTCTACCTTTACCCTACCTCAAGGTAATTACCGGGTTATCCGATACGGATTCTAAAAGATTCAAAATTTACTTTTACATGAGGGTTACCGGGTAATTACCCTATTACCTCTGCCCTAAAGGGTAAAAGATCAGGGTTACCCGGTATTTACCTTATGATAATTATATTTCAATTAAACATATTGGTATGTTTAGGATGATTCGAAGTATTACGTCCTATGAAATTTATCTTCTAATATCAGCATCATAATTATTTTATTTATCAAAATTATATAAATTTGATACAACACAAACTTTACTTTAACAGTTATTTGGAAAACCAATCAGAATATATTTTGATATAAAATTTTATTTTTTAAATATATTCGAAACCAGTTCAAATAAACGACTAAGATTTGCTTTTCAATAGAATGACTTATTCCTCATCAAAATATTAGTATTTAATATTTCATCATTATCATAAGTGTAATTATATCTTTTTTACATGTTATACTGTGGTACCCCACTTTTGGCAATTTTGAGGAAATTAAAACATTTTTGGAAAACTGTACCCTGGCAGCATTGTAAATAGCCTTCGGTACATCAAAACAGAGTGAATCCGGAAGATCGCGGGGATTCTCGAGGGATCTTGTAGAATCTGGGATTTGGGGTGCCGCAGTAAGGCCAGGCACCACCCTCCCTGCGAGCTCTGCAGTTAGGATCTCTAGGGCGCAAGGCGCAAAACCCGCCTTCGGAGGTTGCGTCCGCGGCTGTAGGGAAACCCTCCATAATTAGGTCAACCCTCGGGCGCCTTGACCAAGTTAGGATCCCGTTGGAAAGAGCTCGACACACTGATTCCAACGAGCCCAAGAACGCTTGGAACGGATGAGGACTTAGGGAGTTATCGCTACTGGAAGAAACGGAGGCGGTCGCCTACGGCGGAAGGAGTTCGCCACCGGCGCGAATTCCGCCTGCGCGGACGAGGGCGTTCGCCTGTGCACAGGCGCTTCGGCGTCGGCGGAAAATCCGCCTTGGGCCCTAGAAATGCGCCTTGGGAGGTAGAAAGTGTACGGCGCCTTCCGCGCCAGCGCGGCGCAGCGTACGTCGGAAGAGCCGCCAGAGTAATCAAATCGGTACGGACCATGCGGACGGGAAGGGTGGATGCGCTCTTGGACGGACGGAGTTGCGGCGGCGGAAGCGCCGACGGAGAGACAAGGAACGGACAGACTGGACGGAGACGGCTGACCACGGTCAACGCCTTCCGCGCCAGCGCAGCGCCGCGGACGGAATTCGCCTGCGCACAGGCGAACGCCTGTGCACAGGAGGATGAAGTTCCGCACCGGCGGAGAATCCGCCGAGGCTCCTGCCTGCGCACAGGCAGGAGTTGAACTTTTGTCCGACATGCGGACACACGC